TTTTTTGGTGGAGATGGTTAAGTTAGTCAACTAGCATGATCTATCTTGTTAAGCTAGTTAAGTTTATCGACTAGCACATTCTTTATTGTAAAGTTGGTTAAGCTAGATGAACAGCATGGTCTTTTTCTGTGAATATGGTTAAGTTAGTCAACCCGCATGGTCTTACAAATGAAGATGACCAGCTAGTCGATCAGCAAAAATACCATTGTGGTCTATCTTGTTAAGCTAGTTAAGTTGGTCAACTACAACATTGTTTCTTGTACAGTTGGTTAAGTTAGAGCAATGGCATTGTATTTCTTGTGAAGCTAGTTAATATGGTTGACTAGCACATTCTCTCTTGTAATATTGTAAAACTAGATGACCAGCATGGTCTTTCTTGTGAAGATGGTTATGTCAGTCAAGCAGCATGGTCTTATAAGTGAAGATGACTAGCTAGTCCACCAGCATGTTAAGATTAAGCTAGTTAGGAAGCTTCATAGGGAAACCAGCATCAAAATCAAAACCTAAATTGGTGATGTTTTCACTGTTTATGACTTTGTTACCTATAAGTTCTCTTCCGACGCCCAAAGCGAGGCCATCTTTGATCCACAGCACAACACCGTGGTAACCAGGGATGGAGCAGGGGAGCGTGACCGGCTGACCAGCCACAACTACCAAGTCTTGAGGCTGCTGGGCGAACATAGCATTCACTCCTGAAACAAAAAAGACAGAAAGAGAGAGAGAGAGATTTAAACTTTAATGTTTTAACTACAACATTCCACTTTAGAGCTCTTTCCTCATACAGACATCCATTAAGAAATAGTTTCATGTTGCATGACCTAATTCAAAGAATTTATTCAATGAATAACTCAAGTACTCAAGTGTGATTAACACGCAATGTTCAAGTGCACCAAGGGCCTCTCTTCAGCCTGTCAACACGGCATCTTTCACACAGAAACATACCTAAAGCAAATGAAGTTGAACTCCATTAGAGTTGAGTGGCCTGAGAAGGCTGTCAATAACTATTTGAGACCCTCTTAAAGAAAATGAGTCACAGATACGAGAACATAGTAAGAGTAAGAGAAGGAAAAAATAGTGCAAAAACGACAGTCTTCAGAATCAACAGTATTCCTGTATCTATCCGCAGGTGGGCACGAAGATACCAGCACAAAGAAACATGTCAATCGGGGGTCCAGGTTTGACTGGTTAGCATTGACAGTTGGCCCTAAAGATTTCTGTCTCCAAAGGGAATCTAGTTAGAAGACAAATGTCTTGTATTTCAAACTCCAGTGGTACATATTGCATGTGCAGTCACAAACATGCACGCTCAAAAATACAATGGCTGACATCAGCTATCAATATTGCAATGAGCTGTCTCAGTGGAGAGATGACGAGTTTCTTGCTGGCAGTACTGCATAATGGGAGTCACACTGGCAGTCATGCTGAACTCTGCAGCTGTCCCTGATGTGTGCCTATCTAGAATTGGAGAAGATGGCTCCTATTGCTCATTCCACTTTAAATCTCAGAGTACTGTTTAATCAAAACTAATTTTTGTGGAATGCCATCCACCAGTTTCTTGATGTACTTTATGTGTGTGTGTGTGTTTCTAACTTAGTTAAACTTCACAATAAATAAATAAAATGGTTGCAGAAATAAGAAAAAAAAACAAAAAAACAAAACAGCCTTTAGAGGACGCCTTTGCCTTGTACTGTAATGCCATATTCAAAGGGTATATAATATTGGCAAAATACAAGGCCATAAACTATATTTCAAAGATCATGATAATTCAGTATTACCAAAGATCAAATGTTAAAGTTGTTCATAAAAAAAAAAAAGTTTTGTTTTTCCTACCAAGTTTTAACAGAGGCAGGGTTAGAGTTTAGTGGATAGTTCAGGGATATTTTGTGCACTCTAATGTTTGCTTAACCTTATTTTTTATATTTTTTTATGTGACTATAGAGATGCAACCTTTGCCCTTCAAACCACTACTTTTGTTACCAATTCTCAGTCTTTAGCAATAAAACCGAATAAAATGGTACTTAATTTTCTTTGCACAATCAATAGGGCTCTGTGGACAATGACTGTGCCTTTTAAGGTTATAATACTTAACCAATTTATTTGTTGCATATATGTCAGTTACCTTATACATGTGCACATGTGTAGTATATGGACATATCTGGCTGTTTTTATTTATTTATTTATTTAGTGTCTCGCAGCATGATAGCAGTCAAATTAGAAAATCTTTTAAAATCACATCTTAAAATAAAAGAGACTTTTTCTTTTCTGCTCCATCAAACAGCTTATGAACACAAGAGCATGCAGCATGTGAACGCTCTCCAAGAAACACAATGGAACATGAAGCTAATTCAGTCTAATTATACAGGTTTGAGACTGATTCGCTCTAATGTTTGCTTAACCTTATTTTTTATATTTTTTTTATGTGACTATAGAGATGCAACCTTTGCCCTTCAAACCACTACTTTTGTTACCAATTCTCAGTCTTTAGCAATAAAACCGAATAAAATGGTATTGAATTTTCTTTGCACAATCAATAGTGCTCTGTGGACAATGACTGTGCATTTTAAGGTTATAATACTTAACCAATGTATTTGTTGCATATATGTCAGTTACCTTATACATGTGCACATGCGTAGTATATGGACATATCTGGCTGTTTTTATTTATTTATTTATTTAGTGTCTCGCAGCATGATAGCAGTCAAATTAGAAAATAGTTCATCTTTTAAAATCACATCTTAAAATAAAAGAGACTTTTTCTTTTCTGCTCCATCAAACAGCTTATGAACACAAGAGCATGCAGCATGTGAACGCTCTCCAAGAAACACAATGGAACATGAAGCTAATTCAGTCTAATTATACAGGTTTGAGACTGATTCATTCAGGTGACACACTGACAAGTCAATTATTAAAATATTTTATCTTGCACGTCCTTATTGGTGTTAGGGTCAGTCTGTAGTAATTACCTTTATTTGAAAACAGTTCTCTGTTTAGTCAGCTATGGCCACGTCTCTGTGTGGGTATGTACTAATACCTATAAAATATGACATATTAATTAATTAATGCTAAATTAAACACACAGGCAGAAAATAACTAATTGCCAGAATCCAGGAGGATGTCTTTAACACAGTGAATTCCATGGATTACTAAACAAATCAGTCATACCTCTGTCCTGCCTCCAGTAAAATGTGATGGATGGCTTGTTTAAAGCTAAACACGAGTCCAAAGATTGATTTATATAAATTCTCCCTGGCGAAATCCTGCATCTGCTGCTCCAACAAGCTATTATTAAATCGACAACTGCAAAGATGCACTATGAATTCTTATAAATATATTGGGCTGTTCATCTTTGAAGGCTAGCAGGCTTGCCTGGACACTGCAGTGTTTCTCATTCTGTCGTTTGCTGCGCTGTGATCTGCTTTGTTTTTGTGTGTGTTTGCTGTGAAGGTCCTCTGTAGATGACTCAGGTAAGCTTGCAGAGACTGTAGACGGAGGAGTTTATCTCACGGCTGTGAGACACAGCAGACCCGCTTCCAGGCTGCCGAGAGTCATCAGGTTTCTGCTTGCCTTATCATGTTATAGGAATACTGATCTCAGAATAATTATTCCTTTTTCTTTTTTGTTCTCTCTTCTACTACGAGATGCGTATTATTGCATCGTCCATTCGGTGCAGTAATTGAGTGACCCCTCTGCTGTTATCGCACTCAGTGCTCTTGTTAACCCTTGACTTCCCTTAAATACCCACCACTATGTCAGCTGCAACCTGACTTGGACTTGGATTCCAACACATTTCTAATTATGATTATAAATGCTAATTATTTTTTAATATGCCTAAATGCTAATTAGAATAACAACGTAGTTTTTTTTTTTCAGTGCTCTTGTTAACCCTTGACTTCCCTTAAATACCCACCACTATGTCAGCTGCAACCTGACTTGGACTTGGATTCCAACACATTTCTAATTATGATTATAAATGCTAATTATTTTTTAATATGCCTAAATGCTAATTAGAATAACAACGTAGTTTTTTTTTTATGAATCCCATGACCTCCAAACTGTCTTGTAAGTTTTTAGTTTAGATCTTTATTCCATAATCACAATCACAATTCATTTTTTTCTATTGGATGACACACTGACAAGGTGATTCCTCACTAAAACTGTATATAGCACAGTGTTCGTTAGTGGTTGTAAAGGTTAAATTGATACACGTAGTAAAGTGCATATTTCTAGCATAGATTAGATAGCATAGCAATTCTTACGGTTAGTGCAATGAATTATTGTGTAGTAACAATAGTGCCATAACCACTCTTTGGCATACAATGGCTGTTTTAGCTGAGACAGAGCAATATTTGCTTAGAATTCTTCAATAACAGACAGTTTGAATTGCATTAATGACGATGTTTGGTTGTAACATGAGTGTGTTGTTATACCATGTGGTAATATTCAACGTGGATGACAGTAGCCTATGATGCTGTGCAATTCTGAAAAATCATAATTGTCTATTATTTCCTTTGACACTGTCGTCATGATTATTAATTTTGATTAACTGCATTTATTTAACACCATTATACTGTTGCAATGCCAACATTCACTTGCAGTAACTTCCATTTATCAGTTATTGACTATAGTATGAACAAAATAAATACTTATTGTATGGGCCAAAATGCTAATGTTGATGCATCTATTATTTATTTATTTAGTTGTACAACCCTACTATATGGTACAAAGCACTGTGATGCATTAAACATAATTGAGATATTTACTTAATATTCCCGTATGTTCTGTTTATTAATTTTAGAAACCTTGCACTCATCTGCCATCAACCATTTAATGAGCAATTACTTGTGTTCCCCAACAGCAACCCTGTAGCAGTCTGTATGACAAATTGTGTGTTTGTCTGTTTCTGTTCTTGTTTCAACATTATTTATTTATTTATTTTATTTTGCTTTAGCAGAAAGATGTGAATATAAGTTTGGAATTATTGGAATTCATATTAGAAATGTCGCTGTTTTAGCTTTTGAGAGAAGCTTTTAAGTTTTACCCATTTCCATAATGTAGAGTTTATGTTTATATTTATGATGATAAAATAAATAAGGAAACTAGATGAGGTAAAATCAGTTTAACCATTATGCAGCGTGTCTAAAACGTGAAGTTTTAACGGACTAAAATTCCCAGGTTTTCATCAACTTGACAAACAAGAAACAGAACAGTTTGACTAAACATGTTAAAGGCTAAAAAGGGACAACTGACAACATTAACTCTACTACTACTACCATCACTACCAGTGTGGTCACTAAAGGGAAGTGGAGGTCTGGTCAAGGAGGTTAACATATCCTCCCAAGTTTCCATCTATTTGCAGCACTGCACCACCTAGTGCGTCCATCCGGACAGCAAAATACTGGCCTGTTTCATTTCCTCCAAACCACCTCAAGCAGCAGGGAAATATATGTAGGTCAGTCAAGAGAGGGATGGGTAAAAAATAGCTAGGGTTGAACTGGGGGCTTAAGTTCGCCCACTCTGGTGGAGGCATTTGCACACGTTTCAAGCTCAGCGACGCTTCGGTCACATCTGGCAGTGTTCCGCCTGGATGCTCAGGCAGCCGGCCTCGGAGCAGACCCTTCCTTCTCCCCCTCATCTTCTCAGCATTGGAGACTGCCAGCTGCACAGGCAGCCGTGCGTGGAGACCAGTGAAATGG